ACAGGCCTTGGCACGATAAAGATCCCTCACTGATCAATGGCCCTGAGTGCCGAGTAAAGGTCAAAGTTTGAAGCCCTTCACCGGTATATTGTGACGTCTCTATATGAGTGAAAAATTCTCGAATAGGACGTAAAACAACATACAATCAATCAATCATTCTACTAAGGCAGTCCCTATATAGTTAGCATTTGGAATAGTAATTTTAAACATAATCCAATTTATAATGGTTATTACATTAAATATCGACCTAATGATAGATTGTATTTGCTGGTAAGGTCATTCGACCATAGAACTTGCAAAATGTTGACTTCAAACGAGACTGTTGATATCCTTGTTTCATCGACTTGTTTGTCGATGGCTTGCCTTGTTTTAGAAATTATTCGTACGTAGACCACGCTCTTGCGTATCGAATCAACTGGAAAATATAAACTCCTTATGCAAGTGACAAGGGTATATTGCTACATAGATAAGGGAAGTTATGTCATACAGTTCTGTTGTAAGGTTTCCATTAACATGTTTTTCTAGAAAAAAATATCCAAATATGAAATATGTTTCAGACTCTGTGGTATCTTTTATTTCAAGTCCACTAGGATATATCAAGTCGACATATGAATTAAAATAACGATTATTAATTGACAATACGTCGTCGATATATTTAAATGTCGAGTTGAAGGCCACAATCAAGTGTTTTCTTCTTCTCAGGTAAAAAGTTTTTGAATAAATTCTGCTTCATATGAATATTAAAATAGGTCTGCTAGTAAAGGGGTGCAATTGGTACCTATGGAAATTCCGACAGATTGTTGGAAGACATGATCTCCAAAAACTACATAGATATTGTCATTCAAAAATCAAGCATCTTTAGGCTGTTTGTGTGTACAATCAGAATGTTTTTTAACAAAATAATTTTGCAAATGACCAGTGACAAGGTAAGTAAATTTACGAGTTCTATTTTTTTTTTATTGAAAACAAAACAGCTCTCTATAATGTCAAAAAGCCTGGACTTTAAATTATCGTTGGGAATGGTTATATATAGTTTTGAAAAATCGTACGTTTTGATGTTTTTTGATTTTGGTAAAATTTCGTGATTTGAAATTTTTAAAAAGTTCCTTTGAGTTTTTACGTATCCACATCTGATTTACACAAGTTCTCGAATATATTGTTGTACAGTACTCCTGGAGTTTCTCCTTATCTACTTTTGATATTTTAATGAGGAATAAAGAGCGAGCTTAGTAGAACATTTACTGGAATCCGTCATGAATAATTATTTGTAAGGATTTTATGTAGTTTAGGAATCCAGTATAAGTATGGTAATTCAAATTTGATATGATTGTTGAAATATTGAAAATATTTAAAGCTGACATGTGATTTTGAAGAATTTCCTCCTCAGAAAGAGAGCTATGGGTATAAGCTGGATCACCTCTTTCAAAATACATCCTTCTCCCTTAATTTATAGTCATTAGTTCTGTTATCAAATCGTACGACCTTGGACACATTCTGATAGACACGACTGGATAGACAAAAGTATCGTTATGTCTGTAAATAGTAAAATTGAATACATTCTACCATGCAAACGTCCTATTTATTAATAAAAAAAACCAAGGTTAGTTTTTTAAGGTTGTAGATATAAACACTGCACACGAAAATTTCCGTGACAAGAAAATAAAAATTAGAAAAAAAAATCATTTCACTAATAAGAGTATTTCACAGTAATTCAATAAAGGATTTATACAATGTAAAAAACATTCACAAATGTGTGGAAGAATCAAATAATAAAGCTTTTACATTAACCCATTCTTTACCCAGAGTTATCGTTCCCAGTACGCTTCTAATTGTAATTGTGGTGTAGCACGGCGTAATACGCCCTCTGATGAGAGATTGTATAGTAGGGTAGTGTTATATAACCTCTCGTGAGAGTTTGACACTAACTGCTATCTGGAATATCTGCAACACCGCCAGTTAAGAGCTTTGGAGAAAAGAAACAAGAAACCTTTTTGAAATGTCCGAATTTCACCGGGTCTAGTTTGATCCATCGTGTTGGTATTTTAATCAAAACAATTTCTGCACTCTTTTATTTCGCGTAGATTTAATTCATATGTTCTCCGCACGGCATCCGTTTTGAGGCCTCAACTGACAGTAAACTAATAGACGGGGTCACGTGACCCCGTCTAAAAATGAGGGATATCCATCAGCTAGTATGAAGTCATGTAGCAATTCACGCAGTTTACATTAATTTTATGATATTTATCTGTGCAATACTATTCATTAATTAATAAAAGCGAAAAACATCCTCGAGATATTTTCAACGACGTAAAAGCATTTAATAAGAAAAATAATTCAATCCATCATGGTATTCAGTTGGAGTCAATTATCACATTGGAACATGTATGTGACAATATTTCCCGTGTTCGTGAACTTTAAAGTATCGAATGTTTTTGACAGCAATTAAAAACATGCTGTAAGATGCTTAGTACGGTTACGAAATCGAAAAGACATTCAATCCGCCTGCAATGGGTTACAAAAACACAAACATACACACTAATGAATATAAATTTATCAAAATCTCATTTTTAAGATAAAAATTTGTTAGTTATCACTGGTTTTTAACTGATACCAACTTGTTAGAATTTGATATTGTAAATTCTGTACAACTTTCCTGGATTTATTCTGAAAAAAAACCCAAAACAAATAAAGCTGAAAATGATTTAGGAAAAGAGGTACTAACTATCACTCAAGATTGGTCAAATGTTTTTAAACGGAACAACTTAATTGTCAACTATAAGTTGTTGACCAATGAACTCAGTGTACTAAGCAGACATTCTGCATTATTGATCTTGTTGTTTGGATAAGGGTTTCACTCTGCCGTTTCAAGGACATTACATATTACAAAACAAATGCAAAGCGTGGATGTTATCTATTGCCCATGACCATAAAACACCCAGTACTGAATATGCAGAAGAAAATCAAACATCTTTTTTTCAAGTCAGTTGTAACTTTTCTACCCAAATCAGTATATGTGAATGTAAACTAAAATGTTGAAGACCTGTACATGCTGTAGGAAGAAAAGACATTAATTTTTAACCAAATGATCTTTTTTGGAATCCTTTTTATTTAAAAAAAATATTGAATGATTGGTTATTACTTGATGCCGAGTCAGCAGTATTTCAGCCATATTTCGCAAAGGGGCTCGGTTTCAGGATGTTTTTTTGGTTAATGTTTCGTGAGTTTTATTTATAAATGGGTGTCTGAATATGATAATAAAAAATAAAAACTGTCGTTTTAGCAGTTTTAAAATATAATTTCTACTACATTAAAAAAACTCAAGGGTTGACACTTGCCATTTTGGTTTCTAAGGAGTGTCTCGATTCAAACCTGAATTTAATAAATATGTACACTTTTCTAATATTTAGCTTTGAAAATAAAATATTTCTTTCTATTGTCTGCCTATTTGAACATGCTGTTTTAGTCACAGAGTTAACTAAAACCTCGATATCCCGCAGATACGATCTTCTAATAGCTAAAATCTGCTCATAAATGCGTTCGACCATATGTGCTTGATGTCAGACATGTTTAAGTTAACTGCATTTGAAAACCGCATTTGAGAAAAATCTCAGATTTAAGAAAAAACTCAAAAGATAAGTCTGAGTTTGAGAAAATATTTCATTGGTGGCACAGTTCGGTGAGAAAAACTCAAATTTTCTGAGAAATCTCAGATTTGAGAAAATCTCAGCGTTGGTGGCCCCGAAGCCTGTAACTATAGGCCCCCCTATAGTCTTGATCCGCCTATCTACTCTTTGTAATCTTTCGACACGTAACGTCACAATGGCGGAAGTGACGCCTCGGTGTATATTTTTGTGTGTTTATGTAGACAGACGAACCAAGACTATAAAGTTTGGATATGTTTTGTGTTATTCTTCTGTAGGGATTATTTTACGGGGACTCGGTGAATATTTATTGTCGCAAAGATCGTAACGGAATCCTTTCCGTTGAGTGACTCAAAACAGCAAATAAAAGACGAAGGAAGTGTAGAATGTGTATTTTCGCGATTATACACCAAAATATTGCATAAACAACTAACTGAAAGGTAAATTCAATCATTGATTCAACAGCTTCGTGCATTATAAGAAAAAAGGTCGCATATAACAACAAGAATAAGTCTTAGATTTTTCTCAAATCTCAGCTTACGTGAGACGAATCTCAGAAATGTTGGTGGCACGGTGTCTTAGGAAAATCTCAGGTGAGGCAGAAATCTAAGATTTAAGGCTGAGATTTGAGCTGAGATTTTTATATGTTGGTGGCCCCGAAGCCTGAACATAGAAAGTAGTAACTTAATCATTTTTGAAGCTAGATCTCATCCGACATCGGTAAGAAAATTGTAGATATTTATTAGATTCGGATGTGAAACGAGGCACCCTTGGAATCCAAGATGGCGAGTGTCGACCATTGAGTTTTAAAATGTAGTGGGTAGAAGTTCGATATTTCAAAACTATGATAAATAATTCTGTTTTTGAGTTGATTCATTACAAGAACTTAATGTTGAAGACACCATTTTCGAACAGTTGTAGCAAAGGTAAACCTATTCCAAATATTTTCTTGTCGAAAACTAAGTCCATTCAGACACTTAAGATAATGAAATGACCATTGCGCTTTTATATGTCCATATGCAACATGCAAACTGAATAAGAAGACTTTTTTTATTTACAGAAATTCAAATATTATAACAAGAGTTAAAGTTACATATAGACAGACAGACTCGTAATCTTCTTTTACAATGTATATATATTTCTGCATAATGATTTTTACTTTTGTTAGAAAGTTAAATTTCACCGAGATCATTCACATCAATGCAACATTGTGTTTTTTATCAAGTGCGACAAGTCAACAAACGATCAAACCATATATATATGTATATATATATGTGTGTGTGTGTGTGTGTGTGTGTGTGTGTGTGTGTGCGTAATGAGAAGTGAGAAAAAACCTCTGCTAGAGGCGGAAGATCTTAATTAGCGAGCTGAATAACATGACCCTGATGACGGAATTGTGGTCAAGGTTATAGCGTGCGTACGACTGATGGAATTATAATGACGTCGTCTGTAACAGAGATCCTTGAGTGCTCCACGGAATTTTGTGGACATGCAGTTATAAATAACAGGATTCATGGCACTGTTTATGTACACCATTACACGGGTAAAAGTTACGATGTTTAAGTATCCCTCCAGACCAAGAGAAGCCAAATTTGACCGATCTGTGAAAATAATCCACAGACCCAAAATACGCTGTGGCAGTAGACACAAAAAGAAGGCTACCACAACAAGAATAAGCATAACGACTACTCGTCGTCGTTTGTTTAGAGTATACATAGTTTCTTTGTCCGCTCGACCTTCTTGAAGGTTATGCTGCCACAATAATGCGCGACCCATGCAGAAAATCAGCCCGGCGAGCACGAAAAACGGTATGGCAAAGAACAGAATAAATATGGCCAGAAGGACACCTACTTTCCATTCTTTATTAATAGGAATTCTACAAACTTTTATTGGGGTGCCATCTTTCCATGTAGAATCTTTGAAAACAGGGAAAAAGAACGTAGGCAAGCTGCATACAATGGCCAGAATCCAAACTATGGTAACGACCACTGATACACGGATGTTGGTCCAGTGACCCTTGGAAAGGATTGGGTGACATATTCCCTTGAAGCGGTCTGCAGTTATGGCAAGAATCGTCATAACGGATGCCAGAGTAAGAACATTTTCTGTGTAATGAACCATTTTGCCTGTAAGAAATAAGCTATGCTGTATTATAATGTGGTTGTATAGAAACTTTAAGACGAGTTTCTTTACATTCAAGTCAATCGATCTATCCTACCTATACTGGATTCTTAAACTTCATAAAAATTCTACAAAAAATGATACATCACCCGGTCCAGCAAACGCTCTACCAAGCCCTTATCTTAACCCCTTACAAAAATATTAACTGCTGTTTTAAGGAGAAACTTAAGACCTACTGTGCTTCAACTTATTCTAGAAGTGGTATAATTCAGGAGTGGATTCCCAAATCCTCGAAAAAAACTTTTAGAAAATCTAAATTCACCAATTTTTTTTCTAAAGTCAATAAAATTAAAACGTACAACGTTCCTACACTTTATACAACTATTCCTCACGATAAATTAAAAACTAGGCTTTTTGATATCATAGGCAATTGCTTCTTCAATAAAAACGGAACTGGGAAATTTTCGTATCTTGTGATTGGTCATCTACAAAATTATTTTGTTAAAATTATTCTGATTCTTCACAAAAGTACTCTGAAGTTGATATTAAAAGCATGCCTGAGTTCCTCATTTACAACATCTATGTAGTCTTGAAATACCAGGTCTTCCAATAAACTGTTGGAATTCTAATGTGCAGTAATTGTACTCCTTTATTAGCGGACATATTATTTTCCCAATTCAAAAACTTCTAGATGAGAAGAAGTAAAATTATTATAGAAATGATATCAATGGCAGTCCTTTAAATCACTATAAAATTTTGGACTAGTGATATAACACAGTCTGAAAATTTCTTTAACCAATGTTCTGCCATTTTATTCCATCAACTTTTTGTCAGTTTTTATGTATGACAAGTAAATGGAAAATGAAAGAAAAATGTTTCAATGATTAAATCGTTAAATTCTCGTATTCTGATAATTCTAATGTGTTAATTTCTTGAAAAGGTTGTGAAAAGGTATATCGATATGTTTGGATAACCATATTTAATGGTCTTTCTGTTGGCAAAAATTTCTTTAAAAATATGTTCCACTGGATTGTCATTTAGTAGATTAGTTTTTTTCGCAACCCAGTTTTGGTTGGAAAGCTTTTTATAATTTTTTCCTATGCAACTCTGTATTGATCTTGTTTTGCGAATGAAGTTTTTGGTTTAATTTTGTCGTAAAACATACAGATCCTTTATGACACAAGTCACTGAAATTCAACTTCTGTGAACATTAACAAACTGTTAAGTCAATTTTCTTTTTTGTTAAAGATTAATAAATCCATATTAATCTGTCTAGAAAAGAACATTGTTTAGTGCTTAGTGACAGGATAACCAATGATGTATCCCCTTAAACATCAGTCTCTAGATAATTATGTACAATCACACTTTCTTGAAAAATAGTAACATGGTTAATTATCAGATTAGTTACAAATTGAGATTTTTGGGCCAAATATTACACTTGTGTCAGTAATAACAAGTCTTGTTTAATTAATTATTTTCTTTGCAGTGTCTTATGTTACATTTTAAATTTGACATCTATTGACATGTTAATGCTTATAATTAGGCTATAACAATGCAATTTTATTCATGAATACTTGTATGTTTTTTGCTATGACTGCAACAAAAAAGTTTTACAGATGTCAACTTATGCTTACTTACACATGAACTCGCCGAAGTACCAAACTTCCTTTGCGAAGAGATCAACTGTGGCCGAGGGCATACAAACCAGAAGAATCAGCATGTCGGTTATCGATAGATTAACAAAGAAATAGTTCATTCTACTCTGCATGCGCTTAAACCCAAACACAAGGGTAACGACGAAAATATTGCCGATGAACCCTACCACGAAGGTCAGAGAATAGAAGATACTAGCAAGGATGAAGATATAGGCTGGTGGCTCAGGCATCACCTGACGAACCCGATAAGAATCATTTAAAGTAGTGTTCACTTCCATGTCGCCAAAGTCCAAAAGTCACCTCATTTCACAGATATCTTTTTTTTTTCAACATTTCATTCCTATCATATCAGGAAAAATCATTCTATAATTGTTTCATGGAAAGATAAATCTTGAAATAAGAATCCACGCACGCGAGAAAATGATAAGTAACTGTGAATACAACTCAGTTTATATTTCTTACGACCTGATGTCACGATATTGTATATGAATGTTGTTGGACCAATAAAATGCAATATATCATAACACGAGGGCAGTCTTAAGATTCCAGGGAGCATATATCGATTAAGCTGAATGCTAGGCAGACTGAATTCATTCTGTAAGTAAATGACAAGAACTTTAGCGGCATTAACAACAATTAAAGTATTGCTACTGCTAGCCCTTTAATTATTTATTCGTAAAATAAAAATTTTCTTTCAATTTCTTTCAATAAGAGAGATATCTCTCTAGCTTATAGAGATATCTCTTTAGCTTATAGAGATACCTCTTTAACTGAAAGAGATATCTCTATGACTAAGATAGATATCTTTATAACCTAGAGAGATATCTCTTTAAACGAAAGAGAAATATCTCTTTTACTTGGAGAGATATCTTTTTTAGGATAGAATGATATCTCTTTAAGCGAGAGAGATATCTCTGAACGTTAGAGAGATATCTCTTTAACAACGTTAAAAGCGATATCTCTCTAAGTTAGAGAGATATCTCTTAGATTTTTAAAAAGAGATATCTATCTAAGTTAAACAGATATCTCTTTTAGTGAAAGAGATATCTTTTTTCCAGTTATCCTTAAAATAAAATAATTATTTCTCCCCTATCAAACGAAAGCGAGGCAAGACGCGATATGGCAGGAAGTACATGGTTATCACGTAGCTCTCTGAAATAGTGTTTAGAAAAAAACACAGCAAGTCCAACCCCAGAATGAAGTATGTAGAAAAATAAGCTAAATCCCTTGTTCGAAACAATTAAAGGATAATGTCAACTTCGTTGATAAACATGCTAAAGGCTTTATATTCAAACGAAAGTAAGCAATAATCTCAACTGCAATAGATCGAATTTTCTCAGCTTATGAAATAATCAACTGTTTCTAATTTTAAATCTAGAGAACACTGAATTACTTGTCATAATTATTTAGGTTATAATGTAGAATAGGTCAAATTTTAGGAACACTTTAATATCCTTGTCGAAAGCAAATTAGGGAAATCGGGTGGGGTCTATTTCGTTGAACAGTGAGCTTTTGCTGAATATTTTTATTGGGGGTAATTAATATACGTTTTGTGGAAAAAAAGTTTTGCTCCCATCCACCCACCACCAATTCTACAAGTAAGCCTCATTTGGTTCTGATACCCATGGTTTAATGCACAGATGTTTGGGAACAGGACCCCCCCCCCCCTTTGACCCGTTGTAACAGTTTCAAAAGGAGGGGGTAGCAACTTCCCCAAAAACATTTAGGGTTCCCTGAATTATTTATCATGATTTATTTTTTCAGCATTTGTTGATGCATAATGTACCATGAAAATTCACGATTAATGCAATTAAGCTATGTATAAAACAAGATGTGTTTGTGAAACACTGATGCCCCTGTATGGCAACTTATATCGAAGGTTGAACTTTCTAAATCAAATAAAAAATGCTGGTACCCAAAATAAGGTCTTGTCTCGAGGAATATAACTGTGAAATATGAAAGCCCTAGCAGCAAACATTGAAAAGATATGGAAAAGGTTAAATTTTTTCAAAAGTAAGTCAAACATCAAGGTCAAAGGTCAAAATTAATGGTTCCCAAGGAAAGGTCTTCTCACAAGAAATACACATGTGACATATGACAGCCCTAGCACCAACCGTTCAAAATTTATTGCCAAGGTTAAAGTTTTTCAAAAGTAAATCAAACTCCATTGTCAAGGTCAAATGATCAAAATTGTTGGTATCCGAAGTAAGGACTTGTCACAAGGATTACATATGTAAAACTTGAAAGCCCTAGCACCAATTGTTCAAAAGTTATGGCCAAGGTTAAAGTTGGGTAAAATTTTGCAAACTGGGTCAAACTCCAAGGTCAAAAGGTCAAATATGATGGTATCCAAAGAAAGGTCTTGTCGCAAGGAATACACATGTGAAATATAAAGCCATAGCTCCAACCAATCAAAAGTTATAGGCAATGTTAAATTTTTTGCGGACAAACAGACAGATAGACAGCTAGACGGACGGACGGACAGGGCAAAAACTATATGGCCGCAAATCTTCGATTATGGGGGCATAAAAATAACTCAATAAATTCTCTTTTTATACCATTGGTATATTATTTATACATAGCTTATTTGCATTAATTGTGAATTTTTATAGTGCATTATGCATCAACATATGCTGAAAAAAAAATAATAATAAAAATGATTCAATAATACCTCATAAAAAATAACTCGGGAAGCTCTAAATTGACCGGGGTGGGGATGGGTGGGTGGGTGGGGGGGGGGGGGGGGGGTTCTGTCCCCATGCAAGAACCTGTGGTTTAAAATTATTGTACATTTTGTCTCTTGTCTTCTATACTAATATTCTTAACTCTGATTGATTGCAAAGATAAATAATATGAGCTTGTCATTATCCTTCAATAATTCACAGATAAATTTAACAAATTTCAGTTAATTCAGTCTAATTAAATTTAGATCTTTATTCTGCTTTGTGACTATGGCACAATTCATGAAGTATACCTTCCATAAAGGAGTTTTTTTTTTTTATCTCCGTTATGGTGTAATACTTCAAATAATTTGATTTTTTGTGTTGCAGGTTGAGACATCTGAGTTGTGTCCCCTCCTATGTCACAATGCGAGTGTAAATCTGAGAATGGTTGATGTACTCTAAGCTAACTTAGGACTGTGCCATTACTTGGACAGTATATCACCTCTGCTCTAGACCTGGTGTCATTTAACCTGGTCAATCATGTGGAAAATGAAGTAGGTCAGATCCAACATCTGAAGCAACTCAGGTAGTTTCCATCCCTAGATGAATCATCCATGCAAGTCTGGTCCAGGTATGGCTTATAGTTACTTGGGAATAGACCTGCTCCAAAAACTTTAACCTAGTCACTCATCTGGAAATTGTAGGTCAGATCCAGCATCTGAAGCAAGTCTGGTAGTGTCCACCCCTAGATGCTAGTTGTTATTGTTACACAGAGGAATTGTCCATTAAAGAAAGAAAACTATAGTTGTAAGGGTCCAATCACTGTGCATCGATGTCATCGAACATTTATGTGGTCAACAATTAGTTTTCTTTATAATATTCTTAGCTTTCAAATTTTAAACGTTTGGCCACAGAAGGAAGACACATGCAGTTTATGAGATCATACAAAATAGGTTTGTTTGTCTGTTTGTATATCATTCATCATATTTATGGTGATATGTTAAATAACAGCAATAAATACACACATAATTTTCATTCACTCTGTCTTAAAAATTAAAAACTTTCAATATTATATACAGAAGTAGTTGATGGAAGAAGGTTGACACCTACCTGTGCTGTATTACAGTCTACGTAGGTGCCAACCTTTCTTTCTTCAACTACTTCTGTATATAATATTGAAGGGTTTTAATGAACTTAAAATTTAAGACATGCCGGGTACATTTTCCAAGATTGCACTGTGTGCCTTTCAAGCTTGTTTAGTTCCATTATGACTTAATAATTAAACCCTTAGTTAGGCCCTCTGTCACTATATTATCTATTCCTTTATTGGCTTAGATGTTTACTTGACATTTGAATGATCATAGTTACATTACTGCATTTTGGTATATTTATTTTTCAAATAATAATTTCACAGGTGAATTACAAGAAGCAACTACCTAAGAAAAAAAGTTGAGAATTTGAGGGTGTCCTATCAAACCTATCCTGTCCTGTTTGAAGAATTCCAGGCCATGAAAAGTGATGCGCAAACGTTTAAACTTTCTGCACACTTACTTGTTTTTAAATGTCAAAAGATTGTTTGAAAAACTTTAATTACTTACTGGTACAGTGTATATGCATGTATCCACTATTTACATGTAACAACGACAAAGTAATTTTTTCCAAAGTCAATAAAACAATGTATCAGTGTTTCCAATATATTTATTTTATTTGAATACAAAGGTTATTACATGTACAAACACTACAAAAATAGTTGAATAATGACAAGAGGTTGATTAATGATATGAAAAACCAAAAATCAAACCTTGATCCTATTTTAGAGTCCATTTGAACTGAGTCATCATTTCAAATGTTCTTGATCATAAACGGAAGCATAGTCTTTCTTCTGGATTACGTATGCTAAATGTTGTGCAGTGATCAGTGCACTCAGAGTTTGTTGAGAAGTGTGCTTTCATTTCAGAAGTCAGTTACAGATAGACATCATACCTGAGGTTGCCATGAACACTGACCCCCCCCCCCCCCCGAATTAAATGATTCCACAGTAACTGTGAGGTATCTGTTGATAAACCTGAGGCTTCTAATTTGTTTTAAAAGTTTAGGCAAGCTTTCCATTGCATTATTGTCATTTGTTGTTGTATTTCAAGCCCCATACAAGGCTCTTTTCTTAGATACTTTGCTCGCTTTCATAATTCTATACAATTATGCCCCACTGAATGTTGTAAAATATATACCTTTACAGTAATTTTGATAGTTTTCTATTATTTGCCCTCTGACTTTATTCTTTACACATTCAGGAATTTTATTTTCTTTCCAGACAATTGCTGAAGTTCAGTGAGACCAAACTCAAGAACTTGAGACAATATTTGCCTCGAAAAAAAAGTAACTGGAAATGAAGTAGTTTTCCAACTCAATAATTTCTGTTTAGCTTAGTTTTTGACAAAGAGCGATAAGATTTGAAGAGTGTTTTCTTTTTCGAACTTAAGAAATATGCTGTTTTTAACTGTTTTGTATCTTCATCTGTCATTTTGGTCTGGATGGTTAGACAAATTTCATTAAAAAGTCCTCTTTCTTTACCAAGAAATATAATAATTCTCAAAACGATCATCTCCGTTTCCTTGGCATTGTTTAATGATAATTTGCTTACG